GTTTTCACATATGTAGATACTGGTATTGTGCTGGAGATAATGATAATGAAAAGACAACCTGTAAAAGCAGCATAGCCTAACCTTTTCAAGCACTGAATATTAAAATGGAAATTCTATATGTTGTGTCTTTTAGCTTGGTATCTGACCTTTTTGTTTCCTCCAAACACATTGTCACAGGTTCTGGGCGGACTCTTCGGGAGACAGTGCTGGAAAGTTTGCCCGTCCTGGCCCTTCTCAACCAGAGCTTCGTCAGCATCTGGTCCCTGGTCAAAGAGTGGCTGTGACTTGCTATATAAAGAAGGCAGGCAGGCATCAAGGCATTCAGTTACTGTTTGATTGAATGTTAGAATGGGCAAAACGAGTGACCTAAGCAACTTTGAACGTGGTATGATCGTTGGTGCCAGGTGCGTCGGTTCCAGTATCTCAGAAACGTCCGGCCTCTTGGGTTTTCACACACGATAGTGTCTAGGGTTTACTGAGAATGGTGCGACAAACAAAAACATCCAGTCATCGGCAGTCCTGTGGGCAACAACAGCTCGTTGATGGGAGAGGTCGAAGGAGAATGGCAAGAATCGTGCAAGCTAACAGGCAGGCCACAAACAGGCAAATAACGGCACAGTACAACAGTGGTGTGCAAAACTGCATCTCTGAATGCACAACTCGTCGGTCCTTGTCAAGCATGGGCTATTGCAGCAGATGACCACACCGGGTTACACTCCTATCAGCTAAAAACAAGAAGCGGCTCCAGTGGGCACGCAATCACCAACACTGGACAATTGAGGAGTGGAAAAACATTGCCTGGTCCGACAAATCTGGTTCCTGTTGTGTCATGCTGATGGCAGAGTCAGGATTTGGCGTAAGCAGAATGCGTCTATGGCCTCATCCTGCGCCTGGTGTCAACGGTACAGGCTGGTGGCGGTGGTGTAATGGTGTGGAGAATCTTTTCCTCCCACACGTTAGGCCCCTTGATACTATTTGAGCAACGTTTGAACGCCACACCTTGTAGAATTAATTCCCCGAAGAATTCAAGCTGTTCTGGAGGCAAAGGGGGGTCCGACCCGGTACTACATGAGTGAACCTAATAAACTGTGTATTTTAACTCAATAATGGTTGAATTGAAGACGGTTAAGCTGCCTATCAATCATTGTTTTTGCGACCAGTGGACAGCCAGTGAAAAATGTGCTCTTGCAACAGCTGCAGATCCCAGCCTATGGAATAAAAGTTTGAGGGAGTTCCTACCTTCTAAACTACTCTGTGGTAATGTGCTCCATACTGTCAAAAACGAGTTTAAATTAATTAGAACATGCTCAAACTCAAGCACTTTTGATAGACTCAAAGGGGAAATCTGTAGTTGCTACATCCAATTATTATTTTAAAAAATTGTACTTTTTACCCCTTTTTCTCCCCAATTTCGTGATATCCAATTGGTAGTATTGTCCCATCACTTCAACTCCCGTACGGACTCAGGAGAGGTGAAGGTAGAGAGCCCTCCGTCCTCTGAAACACGACCCCACCAAGCCGCACTGCTTGCTTAACCCAGAAGCCAGCTGCACCAATGTGTCGGAGGAAACAATAGACCTATAGCAAATGCAGCATATGGCATTAATTTTTCAGTAGTGCTCAAAGCATTCCATTCCATAAGAGCAGCATTTATTTTTCATCTCGAAGCAATGAGCCCAATCAGTCCTCCATGACAACAAAATCATAAACAACAAAGGAGGGCTGGCTAATAAGTCCTTCATTTTGGGGTTATGTTCAGGTGTAACAATTTGGCAAATCTATACTTCCATATTTCCAAGTCAAATTCTTGAAGATCAAGGGGTATTAAATTAATTGTAATGACTGTAAATCTGACAGACTTTGTAAAGATAATCTAATTGTATTATTATCTGTAGTAGAAAGCAATGGGTTAGAAGAAGCCTACATAACGAACTCAAAGTACAATGCAACATCCATTTATGGCCAGCTATGTAAACTAACATTGATTTATCCTGCAATAGATGTCGTTCAATTTGTAATACATTTTTGTCTTCTAATGCCTCAAGGGGAAATTAATCTAAAAGTAATCAGATTAAGTTACCGATTACAATTTGAGAGGTAACTAACGGATTACAATTAGAAAGTAACCTACCCAACCCTGCCTGCAAATCTGTATGTGCGACCAATAAACTTTGATTTGGATACTTAACTTTGTTGATTCTGGATGTTGCTAAATAACCAGCGAACACATTTTTTACTGGTTTGGAGGAAACGACAACAGCCTAGGGATGTCGAAAATAAGGTAAAACTTCAAAACTGAACCATCACTTTAAGGGAATGTAAATTGGTGCCTGTGCCAGACCCAAGTATAATAATAAAAAAAACTCAAGGTTGTGTGAAAATGACTTGAATCTCTCTCTGACCTACATTATTCTCTAATGACTCTAGGTCCACCACATCAATGCTAATTACTTCCTGGACGAGACGTCCGTGAAGCCTGAGGAGGAAGCCGACACATTTAGCTTCTCTGGTGGGTTCGAGGACCCCGCCACTGCTATGTACATCAACTTTCTTAAAGAGGGGCTGGAGAAAGCCAAGGAATACCAGGCACAGTAAAGACTGGCAGCGGTCAATATTATGTTTGTGTCTAGAAATGAGGGTAATTCCTCTGAAGGAGCTAAACGTCCAACGTCTGTGTAGGGATCAGATTCCTTCGGTGCTGGCAACTTTTCAGGTTGTTTCATTAGCATCCAACATGATCAGTATTACAATAACCTCTTCAAAGGACAGTGGCAGCTATACCAGTTGAGCCCTTCTGAAGACATATGCTTTAGACTGTTTTTTTATAACTAAACTCAATACTCAGTTGCTAGATGTTCTTACATTTACATTTTAGTTATTTAGCAGACGCTCTTATCCAGAGCGACTTACAGGAGCAATTAGGGTTAAGTGCCTTGCTTAAGGGCACATCGACAGATTTTTCACCTAGTCGGCTCGGGGATTAGAACCAGCGACCTTTCAGTTACTGGCACAACGCTCTTACCCACTAAGCCACCTGCCGCCCATCAAGTAAACATACTTCTCATCCATCAGAACAGTAGCCAGGTTTCAAACGTCGCTTTGGTCTCTCTGCTAGTATTGGCTAATTCATTTTTACTTCTTATAACAGTGAGTTCAAATTTGCTTTACTCACTTAACATTCTCAACATCTTCACACCAAAACAAGCAGACTGCACCATAATGCATTGTTCTAATTCTTGTTTTTCTTAATCTCTGTTGTGCAATATGTAAAGAACCATAGATTTGTAATACTTCTGTCATTGTTGGAAGAGTTGGAGTTGGAGTGGCAGAGCAGGTCAAGTCGTTCCCTCTAGAGTTTTAGCAGTTTGTGACGGCCTTGCCTGAAAGTCCAAAGTTGGCTAGCCAAGGCCTGACGTCATTGCTAAAACCTCTGCAGGCAACACCCCTGCTCTGTTCCCGAGGTTGCCAACAGCTGTCATGGAAACACAAAACAAAGTTGGATGGTGGCACAATGTTTAATGTAATTGCTTTTTGTTATCTTTCCTATGAAGCCAAACATTGCTGTACATCTCATTTTAATTAACCTGTAGTTTCAGAACACCTTGCCCATGAGATCAGAATTCACGGTGTGACTACACCAAAGATTATCTAACAAAATGAACCGTTATCAAGGGCAAGATGAAATGGACTTAGTGTGTACATTTGAATCAGGTAATATCTTAACAAAATGTTATTTCTCCATCCTCTTGTTAAAGGAAAGATTCACCTATTTTGAATGTTATATCGTATGTGCATCTCTGTTCTATCAATTCCCGGGGTCATTTCATGTGTATCTGAGCTAGTCGCTGTTCAAGCAGGCTGTATTTTTGCCTGCTTGAACAGCGAATCGCTCAGATAAACATGAAATGACCCCGGGAATCGATAGAACATCGCTCAGAGATGCACAAATACGATATAACGTTCAAAATGAATGAATCGTTCCTTTTAAATCGCTGCAATGTATGCACATGTTAGCATTGCAGAGGTAGTCATCCCCTTGAAATAACCTTTGACTGATAGTGCCACATTTTGTGCAAGAAATTAGAATGGGTCTTTGCTAAAAGGAGTCTTGATTGATCTTTTGTCCCCAAGCTTGCATTGACCACTGGATGAGCTCGATGTTTCTCAAAAGTATCAGATAAAGACATGTTATAATAACATTAGCCCTATTTTAAACATTTTGTTGATTTTGTCTACTTGTTGTATTATGGGAACATAGATCTAACTTCTGATCAGTGACAGCAACTTTCAGGTATTGTTTGATGGATAGTGGGTAGCATTAAACATTTTTAAAGACAGTTAGGTTAGACTGCGTCCTCTTTTTGTTCAAGTTAACTAAATTTGTACATCAGTTCATATAATTTGGTCCATATGCAAAAAGGGGCATCTTAAGCCCCTATTTCTTCTAATTTCTGTTCCTCCAATTTACAAAAGAGACAGCCACCTTCAGGTTAGCGATTCACAAGAGGCAAACAGATGTACAAAAAAAAAGATGATGCCAGAATAACAGTGCCAATTGTGCTGGGGTGGAAATGCAGGCTTGCACATGCAGGTAGGTCTTCAGATGGAGATCATTGCTAGAAGGAGATGTGAATTCCACCACAGAACTACAGTATCCACAATACAATGCAGAGTCAGTTGAAAGTGAGGACCATACCAACCTGCAAAAGGAGTGGGGGGGCTGCAACAGGGCAAGTCTTCCAATGGAGTGAGGCTTCAACCTCAGTCCCAAACCACCAACACCCCTCTTCCACCTAATGGTTTGGTCCACATTCAGAGCTAGGGTTCAGAATAATCACAGTTCAGATTGCAGCCCAAATCCACAGAATTAAGTCAAAACAGGTACCTCCAACAACTCATTGTTCTAGAAGAGATGGGTTCTAGAGTCTTGTTTAAAGCAGTCATTGGATGGCCAGACAGAGTGAGTGGGTGTTGCTAGGCGAGCTGAAGAGGGCAGGCCTTCACCAGAACGTCCACACCTCCAGGTCTATGACGTGGAAGTCGTCTCTTTCCGAGAGGCAGCAGTTGTTGAAGGTGTAACATGGGCTACTCCTGCCCAGGTACAGAGTCTCATCTAGCCACAGGCCAAAGTGACCACTGCGGAAGAGAAAGAGAGAGAGAAACTCAGTTAATTGTTTTAGAGTAAAGTAATGTGTTCTCCTAAACATATTGACACATACTGTACCACAAAGCAACAGACTAAGTGTCAAGCAAACAGAAATAACATCAGCATCAAGAAAACCATAACGTAACACATTTGTATGACTGGGAGTGGCCCTACCTTCCTCCTCCGATAGCAAAAGAGTCCAGGTCTCCCTTTATGAAGAAGGAGTTTTCTCCGGTCCATCTGAAACACTGTGGGAGGTGACAAGGGCAGAGTCAGTCAAGGACACCAACACAGGGGTACCTCAGGTTCCTATCTGATTAATGCATTACTTCTCTGACAGCCCTTTTCACATTGCAGACCAGGTGAATTGCAGACCAATGAACTTGCCCTTTGTAATACTCTGCATATACAGTACACTACTGATAGTACAGGAGGCTGCTGAGGGGAGGACGGCTCATAATAATGACTGGAACGGCATTAATGGAATTGTATTTGATACCATTCCACTTATTCGCCTCCAGCCATTATCATGAGCCCGTCCTCCCCAATTAAGGTGCCACCAACCTCTTGATTAATAGCAACGAGTGACCTTTCATAATCCAGTCATGTATTAAAATCGATCATGTGATGTTGTTGTCCCGTGTAGCTCAGTTAGTAGAGCATGGCGCTTTCAACACCAGGGTTGTGGGTTCGATTCCCACGGGGGAGCAGTATGAAAATGTATGCACTCACTAATTGTATGTCGCTCTGGATAAGAGCGTCTGCTAAATGACTAAAATGTAAATGTTGGTAGAGACCTTTATGTGAATAGTAATTTGGTTGCTATGGAAACTCATGCCCTATTACATCAGCAAGATTTGCAACACAACAGTATTGTCTTTTCACTTTTCACAACAATCCTGTGCCGATACCTTAAAAAGCCACATTTCAGATTAGAACATGTAGGAGAGAATTGTTTGGCAATGGTTGTGTAAGTGTAGTGTATGCATCATAGTGCGTGTCATGTCTGACCTTGAATCGAGGATGCAGCATGAAGAGAAATGTCTCTCCTGTGCCGTAGAAGGTCTCGCTCGGCCTCAGTGGGTGAGAGAGAAAGCTCCCAAACACCTGGGGCACAGAGAAACAAAAACACAACCCTCTGGTAACCAAACAAGACCGAACTCATACAATGAGGGTCTTCATAGGTAACCATAAGTCCACAATGAACTCGTGACCCCTGGCAACCCCACCATAGTCTCTGGAACAGTTGAGTGTCTGAAGTCAATAGTGCATATGCCATGAAAAGCATGTGGTCTATGGTACGTGCTTCTGTGTTTAATCTCTAAAGCAGATAGATAGTCAAAAATGTTGAGGGTGGTGCATGGAACATTGGGGAGTTGTTTGTAACTTTTAAATAAAACAAATCTGAGTACATAAAAAGGTCACCTGATTGAGCGAGTCCTTAATGACCATGAGTACAGGCGAGTCGCTGCCGTTCAGCTTCCGGTAGAGGGACTTGAGGCTGGAGCCGTGAAGAGACGTGCTGTAGGCCAGATGCCACATGTGGCCCACTGTCCTGGGAGGCAACTCGGCTGAGAGCTGGAGAGAGAGGGAAGGATTGAGAAGGAGAAAGAGTTGTGTGAGGGTTGGAGAGAAGGGGCACAAAGAGAATAGATACTTATTAAAAGATTAAGATTAGCTCAACAGAGGAAAAGATTAGTTAAAGAAAAGGGAAATAATTGGTATCCAACAAGTGAATGAGCCTGGACATAATGAAACACTTGAAGAGCTGACCTGCAGGGCTCCATAGCTAATGTATTGGTTCAAAGTGCTCACAGCACTGCTCTGCTTAAATCTCTCCACAGGAGTTCACTACCAGCGTTCTACCTTATACATCCATAGTAGGGGTTTTGCGAATTGTCAGTAATCTACTCAGCACGAAGGTTCAGTTATGAATGGCACTGTGTGTATGACTGAAGACCAATGCTGCTTGAGGGAGACTGAGGCAGAAGCAGAAAAGTCAGGTTTAGTCGCAGACTCTGGATTTATCTTTAACCCCAGACCAGTCAATGAATGCTGAACTTGTAATGCATTTGTGGAACTAGAGGCAAGAAAAGGAATGTGTGCAATTTCTTCTATATGTGTGGTGCTGGCCAGTGACATGTCATGAGAGGCTTTAATTAATTTCCCCTTGGGGATTAATGAAGTCATTATCTCTCTTTCTTATCCAAGAATGGATGAGAACAATCTTCCATTGTGAATTTGTGCATGTGTGATTAGATCAGACAGTGTTTTGTGAAGACCTGACATGCATGTGTCTATGGTTGGGTGCTCACCTCTCTGACAAGCGTTGCATCCAAGATGCGACTCTGCTCTACGATCTCACACAGTCCCTCTGGATCTTTGTCCATGACCAGAGGTAGTCTCCCACCACCGTCCTCCACTGACACCATCTGCAAGACAAGACACACAACCTAGTTATAAACCCATTAACATCACACTCTCACTCAAACTTGACACACACGTCACACTCAAACAACAACCACGGACCCCACCCCACCTAAACACTGCTCAAACTTTCAAACAGTTGCTCAAACTTCCCCAGGGCAAGATGTGCACAAGATGCATTGTCACCACTGACTCTCTAGTCAAAGTAAATAGAAATAGCCATTTTTGTTGTCAGCCACTATAGACTTTCTTTAGGACTCTCCTCAATGACATTAATATACAAACTTACCTCCCAGTCCTCCCCAGTCCGTCCGTGGTTCTTGGACACCTCTTCCTCCTCTTCTCTGTCGTCGACCAGTACAAACTCGTCTTTGTCGCCCTCCCCCTCCTCCTCCTCCTCCTCCTCCTCCGACCCTCCCTCCAGTATGCGCAGGTCTGGCCTCCAGTGGCTCAGATAGGCGTAGAGCTCGTCTGAGCTACAGACAAGACCATGAGAGCAGAAAGATTTAGTGTTAAAGACCTTTGACTTACTTCTAGTGAGAAATGTCTTTGAACTTGAAGTCTCTATATTCCTCAGCAAGGGAGGTCATTGAAATTGCTGCACAAGACATGTAAACATTATGTTAATGTGGTCCTCTGTAGCTCAATTGGTAGAGCATGGCGCTTGTAACGCCAGGGTAGTGGGTTCGAACCCCGGGACCACCCATACGTAAAAATGTATGCACGCATGACTAAGTCGCTTTGGATAAAAGCGTCTGCTAAATGGCATATTATTATTATTATTATTATTATTATTAATAATAATAATAATAATAATAATAATAATAATAATAATGTTAGACATTGTCAGTGTGAGGTGCTAATGTTCACAGAATGTAAGTGGAGTGTAAATGCTAAACTAAAACAGTCTTTCTGTGGCTCCAGACTGCAGACTGTTACCTCTCCTGGGAGAAGGCGAACCAGGCATCCCACCGGGGCAAGGTTTTGGTTGTCCCCAGCTGCAGGCCTGCAGCCAAACCCTTCTTCCCAGCGGACCGCTGGAGCCGCAGCCTGACGAACATGAGACATCCAAAAGTCCCTGAAGAAGGTCTAGAGGGGCCTGGAGAAGAGGGAGAGAAGTAGGGGGGGAGGAAGAAAGAGAGGGAGGGGGGAAAGAGGGCGAGAGTGGGAAAAGGGGAGAGAAAGAAAAGGGGAGAGGGGGGAGGATGGAGAAAAAGAGTGAGGGGATAGCAAAACACAGAAAGAAAAAGAGACTGAGTGGGAAGCATTTGTTATGATACAATCTTCCTACAAACTTATCAAGCAGACCTAAACCACACAGTGCTGCTTGGGATAAAACAATGAGATAAACCTATCGACTTGATTCCTTTCCTTACCTGGCGTCCGATTCCTCACAGACTGCTCCTTCTCCGTCCCCTCTCTGTCCACCAGCTCCATTCTCACTAGATTCCCCGTCCCTGCTGCCTCTTGTCCTCCACAACAGAAGGTGGCAGCACTGCTCAGCACAGCCACTCCCAGAGCCCCGGATGACTGCACAACCAGCTCTTCCAGTGGACTCCCGTTCCCCTCCAGCTGCTTCTCTGCCTCAGTCATGTCACTGCTACTCTCCTCCTCAGCGACCCCCTGGACCAGGCTCAGAGCCAGGGCAGACCTCAGCTCCGACGTAGCAGCAGAGACCAGCGCTGGGATAGTCTCCCCCTTGTGTTGTGGGCTCCTGCTGCTTCGCCTCCCACCCTGCTGAAGCGTCTTGCCAGTTTTGGAGCCAGTTTTCTGTGTCTTTTTAGTTCCTTTCCACCTAGTTACAGAAAAACAACCCCCTATGTATGTTGCATGTTCTGCAATATGTAACCCGGCAAACGCTCCTTGATGGTGGTCCTGGCGCCGACGAAGATGGCGGCCTCGCGACTAGCTCTTAGGAAACTTTGCAGTATTTTGTTTTTTTTATGTATTATTTTTTACATTATTAGCTCAGAAAGTGTTTTGCGTCATTACATACAGCCAGGAAAAACTATTGGATATCAGAGCGGCGGTAACTCACCAGCATTACGACCAGGAATACGACTTTCCCGAAGCAGATCCTTTGTTTGCTCTCCCCAGGGCAACTGAACTGATTCCAGCGGCTGACCCAAAACATTGCCGGCGGAGGAGAGGCACTCGGAGCGGCCTGCTGGTTCGACTTAGGAGGCGCGCACACCACCCACCGCTTCCAAGTATTCTACTCGCTAATCTTCAATCTTAGGTTAACAAAGTCGACGAACTACGGGCAAGGATTTATTTCCAGAGAGACATCAAGGCCTGTAACATACTCTGTTTCACGGAAACATGGCTCTCTTGGGATATTCTGTCGAAATCGGTCCAGCCAGATGGGTTCTCAGTTCATCGCGCAGACATAAATATCTCTCCGGGAAGCAGAAGGGCGGAGGTGTATGTTTCATGATTAACGACTCGTGGTGTAATTGTAGTAACAGAGGAACTCGAGTCCTTCTGTTCACCCGACCTAGAATTTTTCACAATCAAATGCCGACCGTATTATCTCCTAAGAGAATTCTCTTCGGTTATAGTCACGGCCGTGTATATCCCCCCTCAAGCCGATACCACGACGGCCCTCAAAGAACTTCACTGGACCTTATGCAAACTGGAAACCACATATTCTGAGGCTGCATTTATTTTAGCCGGGGATTTTAACAAAGCAAGTTTGAGGACTAGGCTGCCGAAGTTCTATCAACATATCGACTGTTGTACTCGCACTGCTAAAATCCTCGACCATTGCTATTCAAACTTCCGGGATGGTTATAAGGCCCTCCCCCGCCCTCCTTTCAGCAAATCTGACCACGACTCCATTTTGCTTCTCCCTTCCTATAGGCAGAAACTCAAAACAGGAAGTACCCGTGCTAAGGACTATTCAACGCTGGTCTGACCAATCGGAATCCATGCTTCAAGATTGTTTTGATCACGCGGACTGGGATATGTTCTGGGTAGCTTCCGAAAATAATTTAGACATATACACTGAAACAGTGACAGAGTTTATCAGGAAGTGTATAGGTGATGTTGTGCCCACTGTGACTATTAAAACCTACCCTAACCAGAAACCGTGGATAGACGGCAGCATTCGCGCAATTCTGAAAGCGCGAACTACCGCATTCAACCACGGCAAGGTGACTGGGAATATGGCAGAATACAAACAGTGTAGCTACTCACTCCGCAAGGCAATTAAACTGCCAAAACATCTGTATTTAGACAAAGTGGAGTCGCAATTCAACGGCTCAGACACGAGACGTATGTGGCAGGGTCTACAGACAATCACGGACTACAAAAAGAAAACCAGCCACGTTGCCGACACCGACGTCTCGCTTCCAGACAAGCTAAACACATGTTCATGGACATATTCAATCTCTCCCTTTCCCAGTCTGCTGTTCCCACATGCTTCAAGATGGCTACCATTGTTCCAGTACCCAAGAAAGCAAAGGTAACTGAACTAAATGACTATCGCCCTGTAGCACTCACCTCTGTCATCATGAAGTGCTTTGAGAGACTAGTCAAGGATCATTTCACCTCTACCTTACCTGTCACCCTAGACCCACTTCAATTTACTTACCGCACCAATAGATCCAAAGACGATGCAATTGCCATCACACTGCCCTATCCCATCTGGACAAGAGGAATACCTATGTAAGAATGCTGTTCATTGACTATAGCTCAGCATTCAACACCATAGTACCCTCCAAGCTCATCATTAAGCTCGAGGGTCTGAACCCCGCCCTGTGCAACTGGGTCCTGGACTTCCTGACGGGCCGCCCGCAGGTGGTGAAGGTAGGAAACAACATCTCCACTTCGCTGATCCTCAACACTGGGGCCCCACAAGGGTGCGTGCTCAGCCCCCTCCTGTACTCCCTGTTCACCCATGACTGCGTGGCCAAGCACGCCTCCAACTCAATCATCAAGTTTGCAGACGACACAATAGTAGTATGCTTGATTACCAACAATGACGAGACCGCCTACAGGGGAGGAGGTGAGGGCTCTGGGAGTGTGGTACCAGGAAAATAACCTCTCACTCAACATCAACAAAACAAAGGAGATGATCGTGGACTTCAGGAAACAGCAGAGGATGCACCCCCCTATCCACATCGACGGGACCGCAGTGGAGAAGATGGAAAGCTTCAAGTTCCTTGGCGTACACATCACCGACAAACTGAAATGGTCCACCCACGCAGACAGTGTGGTGAAGAAGGCGCAACAGAACCTCTTCAACCTCAGGAGGCTGAAGAAATGTGGCTTATCACCTAAAACCCTCAAACTTTTACAGATGCACAATTGAGAGCATCCTGTCGGGCTGAATCACCGCCTGGTACGGCAACTGCACCGCCCACAACCGCAGGGCTCTCCAGAGGGTGGTGCGGTCTGCCGAACGCATTATCGGGGGCAAACTACCCGCCCTCCAAGACACATACAGCACCCGATGTCACAGGAAGGCCAAAAAGATCATCAAGGACATCAACCACCCGAGCCACTGCCTGTTCACCCCGCTATCATCCAGAAGGCGAGGTCAGTACAGGTGCATCAAAGCTGGGACCGAGAGAATGAAAAACAGCTTCTATCTCAAGGCCATCAGACTGTTAAATAACCATCACTAGCACATTAGAGGCTACTGCTGCCTATTGAAATCACTGGCCACTTTAAGAAATGGAACACTAGTCACTTTAATAATGTTTACATATGTTGCACTACTCATCTCATATGTATATACTGCATTCTATAATATTCTTCTGTCTCTTAGTCCATGCCGCTCTGTCATTGCTTGTCCATATATGTACATATTCTTAAATCCCATTCCTTACTTAGATTTGTGTGTATATGTTGTGCAATTGTTAGATATTACTGCACTGTCGGAGCTAGAAGCATAAGCATTTCGCTACACCCGCTATAACATCTGCTAAACACGTGTATGTGACAAATAAAATTTTATACCATAGAAATCCTTGGACCAATTTAATTGGCTATACTCCATTTGCACTGCTAGATATCACAGAGAACATACAGTATTTAAGGTCACTGTTGCTACCTGTGGATATGTCAGACTCACCCACACTGATCCAGTCATAGTACGTATTCGAGATACACCGATTTGACAGGTCTGCCCAGAATATAGGATTATTTTAGTGACCTCATAGGTTAAACACCTTCCAGGCAATGTGAAGACACAGTATGTTGATCTGTGCAGAGCTGCACCGAATCTGTGTGTCTCAATCGTGCACAGTCATTCAATGCTGACCTGTGTGTGGAGGAGTTGAAGTGCACGTGGGAGATGTCCGAGTAGAAGGAGACCGAGGCCAGGCTGTCCACTGAGCAGGACAGCAGGTACTCCTCACAGCCGTGCTCCATTACCAACGGGTGGGTCTTACACGGGTCAAAGAAGATCTTATTGGACGTCACTAGCAAGATTCCAGAAACCACACCCTAGATAGATATATATATATATAGAGAGAGAGAGAGAGAGGTGAGAAAGGTAAGCGGGTGGTGAGAGAGGGGTGAGCAAGAAGTGCGAGAGCGAGGTGCGTGAGAGGTGAACGAGAGCGGCGCTAGTCTCCACCCACCTTGCGGTCAGTGATGTAGCGGCAGAACAATTTGAGATACGGCATGGCGGCTTGCCCTTCACCTTGGGAGCACTCGGGAGGGAGGGCCAGTAGGCAGCGCTGTCCGTCAGGCATTGGCACTGCCTCCACATCCTGGGAGAATCAAAACACAGCCGTAGCCCAGTAATATGCACTTCTCCCCTTGACTTACTAGTGTCTAAAGCAGGCATTAGCCACTCGTTAAAACAGTGCTTTATATACACAGAGCTGACTAAGCAGGTTTGAAAAGAACAGTTCTCACAGAAACAATCAATCATTGCCATTAGCGAGTTTGCTACGTTTTTCCAGTCCTGCATTGGCTCTTATTCTTTTGAACAATTTAAGCTTAATTTAAGCTATTTTGGCCTCTCCTGACAAGAACAGTCAACTCTACCACCGGTAAAAGCAAGAACACACTCCATTAAAGGCCTGACAGGAGCCAGATAATCATGGTTAAATAATGTAAAAACATTGTCAAATGTACTTCCTCTTCTGTATGATTTGTGGAATAAATGCATTCACATTGTCCTTACCAGTAGTTTGTCATACTCTGCATCTGGTGATGGGGAGTGAGGGCTGGCAGATGGGGCCGGAAAAAGCCCGAGCCCCAGGTCAGTGTCCAACTCTGGCTCCAGCCTGAGGTTGGGGTCAAGGTGCATCACCGCGGGAGATGAGCCTTGGTCAAAGCCTTTACTCTTGGGAACGCGGAGGTTCTTCGAAATGAAAGTGCGGAGAAACATCACAACACATATTTGTGCGCTGCTGTAAATAAAACTCTGCCCAGTTCAAGACCTCCCACTTCCTCTTTCTAATGTACTGTGAACTCTACATCTGCTTTACTGTGGTCTTATCTGTAGCCTACTGGAGTGGAGGGGTGGAGGATTGATTTGGTAACAATGCAAAATACAGGTAACTGCTCAAATTAAGGAAACACTTGAGTAAATGAGGGATACAAAGTATATTGAAAGCAGGTGCTTCCACACAGGTGTGGTCCCAGAGTTAATTAATCAATTAACATCGTATCATGCTGAGAGCCATGTATAAAAATGCAGAGTTGGCCATTATTTTGGCTACCATGGCCAAAAGAGATCTCAGTGACTTTGAAAGAGGGGTCTCAAAGGAGCATAGGTGTGTGTGTGTCAGTCACCAGATCTCAACCCAATTTAACACTTATGGATGATTCTGGAGCGGCGCCTGAGACAACGTTTTCCACCACCATCAACTAAACACCAAATTATGGAATTCCTTGTGGAAGAATGGAGTTACATCCCTCCAATAGTTAGACACGTGAATAATCTATTCCAAGATGCATTGAAGCTGTTCTGGCAGTTAAATGGTGGCCCAACGCCCTATTAAGACACTATATTGGTGTTTCCTTTTTTTTGCCAGTTACCTGTAGGTTCTCTGAAGACCATGTGGTGACGACTACGTAGTCTTTCACTCACTTTGCATGCCAAATCCATAGTGGAAAGTACAAGCAAAACAACATACTATATATACACAAATGTATGTGGACACCCCTTCAAATTAGTGGATTCGGCTATTTCAGCCACACCCTTTGCTGACAGGTGTAGACAAATCGAGTACACAGCCATGAAATCTCCATAGAAAAACGTTGGCAGTAGAATGGTCTTACTGAAGAGCTCAGTGACTTTCAACGTGGCACCGTCATAGGATGCCACCTTTCCAACAGGTCAACTGTAAGTGCTGTTATTGTGAAGTGGAAACGTCTAGGAGCAACAAAGGCTCAGCCGCAAAGTGGTAGGCCACCCAAAATCACAGAACAGGACCGCCGAGTGCTGACGCGTGTAGCACGTAAAAATCGTCTGTCCTCGGTTGCAACATTCACTAAGTTCCAAACTGCCTCTGGAAGTAACGTCAGCACAAGAACTGTTCGTCGGGAGCGTCATGAAATGGGTTTCCAAGGCCGAGCAGCTGTATACAAGCCTAAGATCACCATGCGCAATGCCAAGCGTCGGCTGGAGTGGTGTAAAGCTCACCGCCATTGGACTCTGGAGCAGTGGAAACGCGTTCTCTGGAGTGATGAATCACGCTTCACCATCTGGCAGTCCGACGGATGAATCTGGGTTTGGCGGATGCCAGGAGAACACTACCTGCCCGAATCCATAGTGCCAACTGTAACGTTTGGTGGAGGAGAAATAATGGTCTGGGTCTGTTTTTCATGGTTCGGGCTAAGCCCCTTAGTTCCAGTGAAGGGAAATCTTAACGCTACAGCATACCATGACTTTCTGGCTGATACTGTGCTTCTAACTTTGTGGCAGCAGTTTGGGGAAGGCCCTTTCCTGTTTCAGCATGACAATGCCCCCATGCATAGTGTGTCACGTTTGTTTTCCTGTGACATTTCAAGGTGTCACATGTTGAGTGAGGAGAAGGTACAGAATGCAGAAACAAAAGATACCAGTCATTATATATATATATATATATATATATATATATCAATAAATGTTGGCTCTGGAAGATACGCATACATGCATGTGTACAGGATGTAGCATCTGATAAGGGTGTCTCTTTCTTACCTGCCGGGAGATGAGGGAGGAAGAGATGAAGGAGGTGGAGAGCTGCCTGTTCAGCTTAGTCTGATCTGCCAGGCTACTGCACTTGGAGGTGACACTGAACACAGTGTCTTCATGGCCAGCCTGTGAGTAGACATAGTGCAGAAATCCACTTCAGGTAGTACTCCAATATTAAAAGAAATCAGACCAAATAATTACAATATTTTCCCTTCATTTGAGACGCTACAACCCTCTGACAAGCCCAATAATATAATGTGAACCCTCCAGCCGCTCCTACACAACACAGGATTCAGCTATTGACAGATGGGAACGTAATTTAGGTCCATGAACCTGACTTTTGAGACTCCATGTCTGCGGGCATTATTACCAGGTTTCAAAACTGGTCATTCAACTGAGACTGCTCTTCTGTGTCACGGAGGCTCTCCGCACTGCTAAAGCTAACTCTCTCTCCTCTGCTCTCGTCCTCCTATCTGCTGCCTTTGACACTGTGAACCATCAGATCCTCCTCTCCACCCTCTCCGAGTTGAGCATCTCCGGCGCGGCTCACTCTTGGATTGCGTCCTACCTGACAGGTCGCTCCTACCAGGTGGCGTGGCGATAATCTGTCTCCGCACCACGTGCTCTCACCACTGGTGTCCCCCAGGGCTCAGTTCTAGGCCCTCTCCTATTCTCGCTATACACCAAGTCACTTGGCTCTGTCATATCCTCACATGGCCTCTCCTATCATTGCTACGCAGACGACACACAATTAATCTTCTCCTTTCCTCCTTCTGATAACCAGGTGGCGAATCGCATCTCTGCATGTCTGGCAGACATATCAGTGTGGATGACGGATCACCACCTCAAGCTGAACCTCTGCAAGACGGAGCTGCTCTTCCTCCTGGGGAAGGACTGCCTGTTCCATGATCTCGCCATCACGGTTGACAACTCCGTTGTGTCCTCCACCCAGAGTGCAAAGAGCCTTGGCGTGACCCTGGACAACACCCTGTCGTTCTCCGCTAACATCAAGGCGGTGACCCGATCCTGTAGGTTCATGCTCTACAACATTCGCAGAGTACGACCCTGCCTTACACAGGAAGCGACACAGGTCCTAATCCAGACACTTGTCATCTCCCGTCTGGATTACTGCAACTCGCTGTTGGCTGGGCTCCCTGCCTGTGCCATTAAACCCCTACAACTCATCCAGAACGCCGCAGCCAGTCTGGTGTTCAAACTTCCCAAGTTCTCTCACGTCACCCCGCTCCTCCGCACACTCCACTGGCTTCCAGTTGAAGCTCGCATCTGCTACAAGACTATGGTGCTTGCCTACGGAGCTGTGAGGGGAATGGCACCTCCGTACCTTCAGGCTCTGATCAGTCCCTACACCCAAACGAGGGCATTGCGTTTATCCACCTCTGGCCTGCTGGCTCCCCTACCTCTGCGGAAGCACAGTTCCCGCTCAGCCCAGTCAAAACTGTTCGCTGCTCTGGCACCCCAATGGTGGAACAAGCTCCCTCACGACGCCAGGACAGCGGAGTCACTCACCACCTTCCGGAGACACTTGCAACCCCACCTCTTTAAGGAATACCTGGGATAGGATCAAGTAATCCTTCTACCCCCCCCCCAAAAAAAAAAAAAAAAAGTGTAAAGTGGTTGTCCCACTGGCTATCATAAAGGTGAATGCACCAATTTGTAAGTCGCTCTGGATAAGAGCGTCTGCTAAATGACGAAAATGTAAATGTAATTATTCACACTCAGCTACTCTATGTGTGTGTGGGTATGAGAGGGTGTGTGTGTTTGAACTATAGACTGGTGGGAACATGCCTAATTGCTTGTGTGTGTGTTAAAACATTTTTAAACAAGCCATTGTGATACAGGCTACCAGTTTGGCATTATTTGAATACTGTTTTTTTTTACAGTAGTTCCACATTTCAATTTCCCCTTTACGAAATACATGATCTGATAACGTTTGATCTGATAACGTTTGAAAGCTGCAGTAATAGAAGCGTCTACATCTGCCTGTGATATAATTACGAACATTTATTTTCAACACATACTTTGCAATACACTGTCCTTCCATTATAACTGTTCTAGAGCCTCTGAATATACCCTTGGATACCCATTGAAATAAGGAATATCTGTGACTGATCTGTGACCACTGTTTCACTGAAATACAGCTTGTCTGACCTTTTAACACTCATTATCAGAATCTATCAATACCATATATTATGCACTGTATTGGTTATCAAATGTGAGGGTGCAGCAGGTCTTTAAGGTCCTTGACATAGGAGTAGGTCTACATGAGATTGTGACTCATCATAGTGTCTACCTTGTCAGCTGACAGGTGATCTCTGTCCGTGGACTTGGCTGTGGTTCCCTCCGTTCCCCATGTAGCCTCTATGAAGGCAAGATGTAAAAACATGTTGAGAAGCGACAACTCTTTCCACCAGTACTCTCTTCTTTCTGCTGCTGACTTAGTTGTTTGTGGTACTGTTTATAGTTTAATTCATGCAAAACAACTCCCCCGACTCCCTCTGGCCCTGTGTGTGGGCTCCTTTGTGGATCTCTGAGGTACATGTAATACATTATACATGTTTCTGAGGTTTATTAAGGTACTGAGTTTTCTCTTTGAGAGCCTCAGGTGTGCAACAAGGCAGCACTGTTGTCTTTGACACACCGACATTGAAATGTCAGATCTTTGGCTCAATGTCATGCGTCAGCAAACTAGATCACTCCTCCAGCAGGCTTTCAATTTGATCCAATAAGGAGTTTGAAGTACTTCTGTAAAAATGTCAACATTGACAGGGGCAGATCTGTGGTTCTGGGTACAGTGCCTTCAGAAAGTATTTATACCCCTTTCCACATTTTGTTATGTTAGAGTCAACGGGTATTTTGTCTGTCAGAAGTTCCCAAGCATTCCTTGCTGCAGTGTTGCAATTCCTCAAAAGTTTAATAAATGCTACATCTAGAGAGAGGAATTCTCCTTACCAACCTTCCCTTGTGTGTGTTATCTGTCAGGCTCTAGAATGGTTTGTTACGAAAATACACAACACATTTATAAATACCATATGAATAATTGGAGATGGAACTACTGCAGCTACCAAGCCCCTACTAAGGCAAACAAACCAGAGATATTTACATAACCTTGTTGAGAGATACCTCACCTTGGAGGTAATACTGTCGCAGTCTGGGGTTCCGGATGTGGGGGACGTGGTCAAGGGGACGCCCCACGGCACGGTGGCCCGGACCGCTGTCCCTGGCCTCCTTGGTTGGGCTGGTCTGAGGCCTTGTCTCCAAGGGTCCGGCAATGAACCTGGGGGGCTGGGTGGCCCCAGCAGGGAGCTTGGGCCCCAGTCTGGAGGGGAGAAAGAACAGAGGGATACTGGTGGTAGCGAAAACTACTGGGATGTTTATTGTTTACCATATAATATGGTTAGGAAAGCCTTCTGACTCCATCTACAGTATATGAGCATGTAAGGGTAGAAATTGTTGATAACCCATCCGAGGCAATCATCTATGATTCTTTATGATTTTGCCTGGCTATTTTGGTAGTCACATTTGTGATTCATGTAGGATAGTGGGAGTTAGGGATATATAGGCTGTTGCTGTTTCTGGCAAGCACCTGCACTCCTCTCGCCCACATAATGCCCTTTTACGGTTTGTGTTCCTTTATTCAAACGAGAAGTAAATTCACAAGAGTGACTATATCAAAGAAGGTGTTGAAGTTCTACTGCTTTGTGCTGCTGCGCTCCCTTCACCTCAACACAACATGTAGGGAGAGCAACACAACATGTAGGGAGAGCAACACAAAAAAGAATAGGCTGACACATTCTGGGATTAAGTAAACAACGTCACAACAAGTCTAAGCAGTGCTTTTCCTCATTTTTTGCCAAGAAATCTGTTAAATTGCAGACCTGGTCTTGACGTTGCCAAAGTAGCTGGGCCTGTTTTTGTCCCTCTGTTGTATTTTGTGTTCCATGGCTCAGAGGGTTTGCAAGAAGGACTTCTCATGGGCCTATCTGAGAATACTGGGATGTTGACAACAGCGATGGTCTGGTGAGTTGAGGGACTTAGCTGGCATCCGTCCTCCTCCAGTCGGTCTCCATGCTTATTAGGCCCCCATAATCATATCTACAGGAGAGTGGGTTAGTGCACATATAGAAGAATGCGAGAGTGAGACAGTGCATATACTCCAAGTAATGGAGTCAGGCCTTTCAGGAGAATCAATGATGCAATCTGAGCATTTTAGCAGGCGTATAACCTTGCGCTGGAAAAATCAAATAAACAAAAAAAATAACATTTTGTATTGAGAAAATGCTCTCAAAGACTCTAAACAAGACAAATGTCAGGGGAGAGAAGCCAGGAAGTAGATGCATGTACACTATATATACAAAAGTATGTGCACACCCCTTCAAATTAGTGGATACGGCTATTTCAGCCACACCCATTGCTGACAGGTGTATAAAATCGAGCACACAGCCATGCAATCTCCAAAGACAAACATTGGCAGTAGAATGGCCTTACTGAAGAGCTCAGTGACTTTCAACATGGCTACTGAGTTCCAAACTACATCTGGAAGCAATGTCAGCACTTTAACTGTTTGTCGGGAGCCTCATGAAATGGGTTTCCATGGCCGAGCAGCCACACACAAGCCTAAGATCACCATGCACAATGCCAAGCGTTGGCTGGAGTGGTGTAAAGCTCGCCACCATTGGACTCTGGAGCAGTGGAAATGCGTTCTCTGGCGTGATAATCACGCTTCACCATCTGGTAGTCCGAAGGACAAATCTGCATTTGGCGGCTGCCAGGAGAACGCTCCCTGCCCGACTACATAGTGCCAACTGTATAGTTTGGTGGAGGGGGAATAATGGTCTGGGGCTGTTTTTTATGGTTCGGGCTAGGCCCCTTAGTTCCAGTGAAGGGAAATATTTCTGCTACAGCATACAATGACATTCTAGATGATTCTGTGCTTCCAACTCTGTGGCAACACTTTGGGGAAGGCCCTTTCCTGTTTCAGCATGACAATGCCCCTATGCACAAAGCGAGGTCCATGGTTTGTCGAGATCGGTGTGGAAGAACTTGACTGGCCTGCACAGAGCCCTGACCTCAACCCCATCGAACACCTTTGGGACGAATTGAAACGCCGACTGCGAGCCAGGCCTAATCGTCCAACATCAGTGCCCAACCTCACTAATGCTCGTAGCTGAATGGAAGCAGCAATGTTCCAACATTTAGTGGAAAGCCTTCCCAGAAGAGTGGAGGCTGTTATATATTAATGCCCATGATTGTTGAATGATATGTTCGACGAGCAGGTGTCCACATACTTCTGGCAATGTAGTGTATATTGAATAATACTGTATATTGAATGGAATTTTTGGTGCTTTAATTCTTGACAAGGAGACATACATCTTTGTATTTGCAAAGTCAAATTCCTTAGGGCCTGATCGAGTTCTGATGCAATGAATGTGATTTATGTAATCTATTTTCCCTTTTCTTTCTAGCACCTTCAGTCAGAAGAGATCTGTTTCTCCACTTAACTCAAGTTCATAATGAATAGGGGTTCTACGTGCAATACTGTATGAAGCATGCCGACAAATCATTATGCCGTGGAGAAGATTGCAATAGATTACTGTGGTCTTCATTTGCATTTACATTTTAGTCATTTAGCAGACGCTCTTATCCAGAGGAATGATTACCACTTCCATATCTAAAATCCGGGGGATGCGGCAATAAAACGTAGGGGTGGGGTACCCTGAATTCAGCAACATATTACAAGCATTTGGGGACTGACCTGTCACAAAGACTGCCGGAATGTTGATCGAGAGCGGGTGGTTTCGGCAGACTTCATACCGCTGTGTTACTGTAGATTTTGTGATATCACTGCAGAGACAACAGTAACAAGTTGAGTATGTATGCTCCGCCCATTTCCCTCATCCTCCATCCTTTTTAAAGGGCCCGTGATTGAGCAGAATAATTGCATGGCTGGAATAATAGTTTACTCACTGTTATAATCAATCCAACCACCATATTTTTATGTTCCCCATACAAACGCCTTAAAATACTGTAATGACCCTGGGTTTATAAGCGCGGATATCGACTCTGCAACGCGAGTATGCTTTTGGGAGTACAGTCGATGGCGCGCTGGACTTCAGGCTAGAAGGTTGAGGGTTCGAAACCTGCGCCCTACCTGTTTCATTACAATACCATAGATTACAATGGTAACTTTTCAAAAATCCTTTGGTTTGTTGCACTTGTAGTAGTGTGATGTTGTTCCCCTAGATTATGGACAGTTCAAGTAGGCCAGGTCAAGAGGGGATGTTAATAAATTAATAATAATAATTCAATGTGTTTTCTTTATTTAATTACAGCTGCATAGCTAACGTTATTTTTTGGTGTACAAACATTGTTATACATCTATATTGTAAATACACCTAAGTGTAAAAGTTGTGTATATTTTGGTTTGGTCCATCGCGGGTTATCTGTACTTACGTACCCTCTTATTGTTCTCTTTAACCTGACCTTCAATTAGCAAGGCATGTTGTCCTTGGCGCCGTAATTTGTCAATATAAAACTGTGGTAACGTTACGTTACACAAAGTGCTGTTACGCAACTATAGGTTTTGTTACAATGTGGACAATATAAAGATTTATGTTAACAACTTTCACCGAGCTCGCTAATTAGGGACCTATTGTAACTCGGGAGTATTTGGGACAGTGTTTGAGTGAGTTTCTATGTGCTCACGCAGGTGCCCGAGAGCAGTGACTGCACCAAGGGCTAATATATTGTGTGTTGTCTCTTCGTGTGCAGGTCGAATAAAAATGATCCAACCATCAGAATTCCAGTTGTGGCAGTGTCCTAAGTAAAAGTACACAACGCAGAACGAACCACGCTACAAACTGGTGCTGTGACCTGCCGACTGGTCAGCTCAAACCGACTGCAGGAGCTGTGGATGAGGTACACGACCTGCGCATGCGCATTTGTTGATGGTTTGCTGTAAGCTAATATACAGTATACTGTAAATAGTGAAAGTGAATGTAGCATATTCATTAGATACAGGTATTTGTGTTTATTTGTATGTTTTGGATGAATTTGTTTATTGCAAAAAAAAAATGTGTTTGAATGCAGTAAATTACATTATATTTTAGTGCTCTGTTGAGCCATGGAAGATTCTCAAGTCCATAAGATGTGTTATGCTGGGGATTTTAGTGTGGGTAGAGGGAGGGGTGTCCTTCCATTTACACCAATTGTACAGTCAGCTCCTGGGAGTAGAGTGTTTGCTAGTCCTGAGTTTGCAAGCACTGGGAGGGGTAGGCTGTTTGTTCCACCTGACCAGGGTATCCCACCTCTGTCTTTTGATGTACCATCATCCACAGTACTCGGTGATAATGGGACGCCTCCGAGTCAGCTTAGTGACCTTATTAAGCAGATTGGTTCAGAGATAGGAGAATCTATCAGAGCGAGTTTACTGCAGCCTGGGGTTTCAAGTCTTTCTCCTGCCGTCCCCCTCACCAACCCCAGCAGTTTCCCTGCCTGAGCAGTGTGGGTCAACCTTTATGATGGTCCAAGCTGAATCTTTTGAAGTTTGTTTTTTATATTGGAGCCGGTCGTCAAGAGGGACATGGTGAAGTCGTGGTCTCTCTGTGGTTCGTGCGTGAAAGAGGGGTTCTTCTTGTTGAAGCATGGTAGTAGCTTGCTAACTTTCTTAACTAACTGGGAATAAGTGACGGATCAGATAAGTACTCTGCTCTGGAGTGGGAGGAGTTTAATGGGACGTCTACCTAGAGAAGAGGGGGGTACACTGGGTCTGAAAATGTTGGGGAGGTGATTGTTAGGGTAATGGGAGGGCAGGGGAGTGACCAAAGTCTGGATGCGTAGCAACCTTTGTCACAGATGTTAAGGCAGTGTTCAGTGTTCTCAAGCAACACTTTGGGGATACTGTCTGCTCAGGTATGCCATTAGCTGATTTCTATTCAATCAAACCATATGCTAATGAGGGTCCAATAGATTTCAGGATTAGGCTTAACAAAGCTGCAGAGGCAGCCGAACAGTACCTTGTGAGTGAGGGCAGGACCTTACCCAATCAGTGCTCAGAGTTGGCAGACATGTTTGTACGCAACTGTCCTGATAAAGAGTTGGCCCAAGTGTTTACATTTTTACATTTACATTTTAGTCATTTAGCAGACGCTCTTATCCAGAGCGACTTACAGTTAGTGAATACATATTTTTTTATACTGGCCCCCCGTGGGAATCGAACCCACAACCCTGGCATTGCAAACGCCATGCTCTATCAACGCTACATCCCTGCTGGCCATTCCCTCCCCTACCCTGGACGACGCTGGGCCAATTGTGCGCCGCCCATGAGTCTCCCGGTCGCGGCCGGCTGCGACAGAGCCTGGATTTCGAACCAGATCTCTAGTGGCAACGTTAGCCTGCGATGCATTGCCTTAGACCACTGCGCCACTCAGGAGTTTGTTCAAGAGCAAACCCTCTGACTGGACAGCCTTATACCACAATTCCCACTGAAATGACACAGGTTTCTAGTGCGCGTTCTTTATATTGTTAAAATGTCCTTTTCTGTCTTTGCTCTTTGTATATTGTGGCCAGAGTAGCCCCCAGCTCCGATTTCACAGAGACTTTGCGCATCCACTCCGGTTATCCAAGACCGAAGGGAAATAGACTCACTGCAGTTGGAACCCTTTTTTTTTTTGGGACCTGGGGCCACTTCAAGGCAGCCTACTTGCAGGAAGGCCAATAATGTAAGTTTCCTCTTCAAGAGGGGTTGCCTGGATTGGAGATCTGTAAATAACAAAAACGATACTGAAAGTGAAACAGTCACAGTGCACAGTTTTTTTTAATTTTGTTTTTTTGATGTTTCAGTTTGTTCAATATAGGCCTACTGCAAAAGCAATAGGATTTCAAACTGAATAAACTAGGAATTCAGGTGAGGACTCATTCAGTCACATAGGCCCACATTTGGTT